GTTCTCAGGAAAAAATTATTTTTTCTTGTGAAATGATAGAGAATCTTTTCCCGATCACAATGACACCAAAAGTATGAAATTTAATGGAAAACTTACGGAATTATGCTCTCGCAAAGTTAGCGGTCTCGACGATGTTTACGCATCAGCGATTTCGCCCACTTTGAGCCCTATTTTCGGCCAATTCCAATGCACCAGAAGACAAAAATCATAACTATTTCGCTAGAACTCCATTTTTTCTATCGAATGAGTACAAGAAACCACCAATTTACTGATTTCAACTATCCAATACAGTGGTCAGAATTTAGCAATTTTGCCAAATTTACACAAATTTCAAAAGATGCCAATTTCCAAATAGGGTCCAGAATAAACAAGAAAGACATTCCTGGCACTAAAATAACATTTCCTCTGTTCATTAGTCACGTCCCCACACCTCTCTTACATTCTTTTGCTTTCCACTTTGAATTTTTATTCTCACAAAAAAATAAGATTTACTGTTATGCAGACTATTGCATTAGTGTAGAAATGGTATAAATAATATCGGCACACTTGTGAAAGAGTATTAGACTCGCCAGTTGACGTGTATTGGACGCTTAGCATGATTTGTTTACTTTTGAACTTTGGTAAAAATAGAACATTTCTGCTATTTTGAGCTCAATTTCAAGGTACTTTTCATTGTAAAACCAGTCAAAATCATCCCAATTTCTGTAATATGTCTTCCATTCTATACAATGAGACCAAGAAAACTAGAATACAACAATAAATACCATACGAAAATATAGTGCAAAGTCGCTGTTTTAATCCAAAAACACGGTCAAAGTTTTTTTTTCTCATTACACACTGTGCTGCAGGATTTTTTTTATACTGTGCACACTGACCACATAGACCCATTCTTTCATATTTAGGCCTACCAGCTTTCTCTCACTAGATCTGAAGGCGCTAGAATTTATGCATACTAGTACGTCATAGACACTGGCGCATAAGCCGTACTAGTACAGCCGAAACCCTGAAAGGGTTAATTTCTGTTGACATTTTCAGAAATATCCTGTGGTTGCAGAACCTGCTGTTCTAATTTTCTCTTAAGCTTAGTTATTCTTGCATAACTATCTTCTAATGTGGTACTTTTGTAGTCTACTGAACCTTTACTTTTCTTCTCAATATTCGTCTTATTCATAGAGAATTCCTGATGTATCATCATTCTCTTCTTCATTTTCTCAGCTTTCTCACCAAATATTTTCTACATTTGCTTCAAAAATGCCTTTAAAACTTCTACAGTGGACCCCGGTTACTATCCAGTACGGAAATTGTACAATTCGGATTTCGAGCACTTTTTTCGGCGAAATTTTCCCCCAGGTTTCATACATCTGCTTGGAAATCGTCCATATCAGACGCATCCACCCACCCAGAATGCCACTTCTTACCCATACCAGACTCAGTCTGCCTCTGTCTCTCGTTGAGTTAGCAGTACTCCACACATTTATCCATTGTATTTTGTGCTTGTTTATTGATTATGACTGTGAAATAAGCCACCATGGGGCCAAAGAAAGTTCAGAGTGCCAGCCCTTTGGTAAAGAAGGTGAGAAACACAATAGAATTCAAGAAAGAACTTTTAGCAAAATATGAAAGCAGCGCATGTGTGGCCGAGCTCGCCAGGATGTATGGGAAGGGGTGCAGTGACTCAAGCTGGTCCTAGTGCCAGTAAAAGACAAAGAAGGGAAGTAACCCCAGATAGGGCTTTGATATCTGAAGGCCTTATGGAGGGGGATTCCCCTTCCAAATAACCTCAACTCCCTCTCCCCTCCTCGCCTTCTCCCATACGCCAACAAGAGTCTTCAATAAAGGTATGTAATGTTCATTTATCCTTAAAATTAGTCATATATATTTATTTCTCATTTCCTGTATGCAAAACTATAGTTATTCTCTATAAAATGCATTTTTGCTAATATTTTTGGGTGTCTGGAATGGATTAACTGGATTTACATTACTTCTTATGGGAAATATTACTTTGGTTCTTGTCCATTTTGGATTTCAGCCAACCTTCTGGAACGGATTAAGGTCGAAAACCGGGGTTCCACTGTATTACATTTTTTAAAGCATTCTCCTTATTTATCTATTATTCATTTTTGCTTTACCGAATTATCTTCAATTATGTATACATAATCATTCTATCCATCCATCCACTGTTTTTTTTTTTTTTACAGATAAATAAGCATAGATGTGCTTAGACTGTACTCTCTGCCATGATGTCAACAAAAGCACCACTGTACTGCTGTGCTACTTTACTTCTCCTTAATATATTATTCTTACCCCAGAAAATGTTTGTTAATAATTTTCTTCTATTTTTGGAGACATCAATCACATCAAAATGTCTACTTCCTACACTACAAAACAGGCACAGTCTTTTTTTTCAGGATGAGGTAGCTGATGTGTGTGCACATGCATGTGAGATGAACCATAAAACTGTAATGGACACTTGTCAATGAATTGAGAAAACTCACATGGAGACAAAAACTGAAGAGAGAAAAAAAGGATCTTTTGATCTTCATCTGAGATCTGCTGAAGACCTTTTGAAGTTAATGACTGTGATGAACGGGGTTCCACAGGGGTCAGTCCTAGGATGGTGCTGTTTCTGTGTATGTGAATGACAGGACAGAAGAAATACTCAGAAATGTCCCCGTTTTCAGACAATATGAAGTTGATGAGTAGAGGTCAATCAGAGGAAGATCAGGCAGGACTACAAAGGGATCTGGACAGGCTGCAGGCCTGCTCCAGAAACTGGCTCCTGGAGTTCAACCCCACCAAGTGCAGTCATGAAGATCGAGGAAGGGCAAAGAAGATTGCAAACAGAGTACAGTCTAAGATACCAGAGGCTATAAACCTTACTCAAGTAAAAGGACCTTGGGGTGAGTATAATACCGAGCACATCTCCTGAGGCACACATCAACCAAATAATTGCTGCAGCATATGAGCGACTAGCAAACATCACATTAAGTTGTTCAGAACTCTGCACGCCATGTATGCCAGGCCCATATTGGAATATGCTGCACCAGTTTGGAACCCACACCTGGCCAAGCACATCAAGAAATTAGAGAAAGGTTTGCAATGAGACTAGTCCCGGAGCTAAGGGGCATGTCCTAAGAGGAGAGGTTAAGGAATATTGACCTGACAACACTGGAGGACATGATAACGGCATATAAAATACTGAGAGGAATCGACAAGGTGGACAGGCAGAGGATGTTCCTAAGATGGGGCATAGCAATAAGAGGTAACAATTCAAACCTAAAAACTCAGATGAGTCACAGGGATGTTAGGAAGTACTTCTTTAGTCAGAGCTATCAAGAAGTGAAATAGTCTGGAAAGTGAGGTAATGGAGGCAGGGTCCATACATAGCTTTAAGAGCTATCAAGAAGTGAAATAGTCTGGAAAGTGAGGTAATGGAGGCAGGGTCCATACATAGCTTTAAGAAGAGGTATGATCAAGCCCATGGAGCATGAAGAGTGACCTAGTGGCGACCAGTGAAGAGGCAGGGCCAGGAGCTATGATTCAGCCCCTGCAGCCACAATTAGGTGAGTATAGACAGCCACCTCACACACCCACACACAACACAACACACACCCACAACACACACACACACAACACACCCACACAACACACCCACACAACACACCCACACAACACACCCACAACACACCCACACACAGCCAGCCAGCCACCCACACACAGCCAGCCAGCCACCCACACACAGCCAGCCAGCCAACCACCCACACACAGCCAGCAGCCAGCCACCTGCACACAGCCAGCCAGCCAGCCATCCACGCACAGCCAGCCACCTACACACAGCCATGTAACAGTTACTATGAGTACACTACTACTGACATGACAGCCAGACAGTCAGCCACCCACCCACCAACAGCCAGCCAACCTGCCTGCCTGCCTGCCTGCCTGCCAGCCAGCCAACCAGCCAGCCAGCCAGACACAGCCAGTCAGCCAGTCAGCCACCCACCCACACACAGCCAGCCAGCCAATCACCCACACACAGCCAGCCAGCCAACCACCCACACACAGCCAGCCAGCCAACCACCCACACACAGCCAGCCACCCACACAGCCAGCCAGCCAGCCAGCCAGCCAGCCATCCACACACAGCCAGCCAGCCAGCCACCCACACACAGCCAGCCAGCCAATCACCCACACACAGCCAGCCAGCCAACCACCCCCACACAGCCAGCCAGCCAACCACCCACACACAGCCAGCCAGCCAACCACCCACACACAGCCAGCCAGCCAGCCAGCCACACACAGCCAGCCAGCCAGCCAGCCAGCCATCCACACACAGCCAGGCACCTACACACAGCCATGTAACAGTTACTATGAGTACACTACTACTGACATGACAGCCAGACAGCCACCCACACACACACACAGTGTATATCAGGTCTATATTGGAGTATGCAGCATAAGTATAAAATGCACACCTTGTCAAGAAATTAGAAAGTGCAAGAGTTTGAATCAAGACTAGTTCTGGAGCTTAAAGGTATGCCTTATGAGGAAAGGTTAATGGGACTCAACCTGACAGCATTGGGCAGGAGGGATAGGGGTGACATGATAATGACATAAAATACAAAGAAATGACTAGGTGGACAGGGCCAGAATATTTCAGAGACAGGATACAGGAACAAGGGGACACAACTGGAAGTTAAAAACTCAGATGAGTCACAGGGATGTTAGGAAGTATTTCTTCAGCCTTAGAGTTGTCAGGAAGTGGAGCAATCTGGAGAGTGAAGTAATGGAGATAGGGTACATACATAGCTTTAAAAGGTACGATAAGCCTCTTGGAGTGAGTAGAGCCAACCTAGCAGTGACTAGCGAAGACGCGGGGCCAGATGTGAATCAACTCCTGCAACCACATATAGGAGACTATGCATGTATGTATGTATGTATTTGCACGAACACACACACACACACAAATAGTGAATTCTGTCAGCAACTTAAAAAGACATGTTGCAATGAAGAATGTCTTCAAAATAAATAATTAACCATTTTACCTGGGCCATCAAATATTGCTAGGGGTGAAACTGCACGACCGCGAGGTTTGGGCGATGGCATGCGTCGTGGTCTACGAGGACTTAATGGACACTTGACCATAGGCTGTATAGTTTTACACTCTGGAAAAAATACACAAGGATTTAGTCACGTATTATGTGTCGTTGATTCATAAGTCTATCTCTATTTGATGTCATAATATTTTCTTGCATTTTAAATACAAGGGACTTATCAAAAATTTTACCATCTTTCTGTTAATGCACTTGTTCAATCTAGTATGGGCCAACAGGCATACTGCAGTGTTCCTCCTTTCTTATGTTCTTACTCATGTCTTCATACAATGATACAATGTAATTTTTTGGGTATATCATGCAGTCTTTTTATATCATCCATAAACATATGTAGTTTTTGTTAGTTCTGGCAGATGATCTGCATACAGTAAACCACAAATACAGTGGGAAAGCACCAATCCTTGCAGCATCCCACTGATCACATTACCCAGTGATATATCTAACTTACCTGGGACCAGTTTCAAGGTTTCTTATACCACTGTAGCCTGGCTTGAGGCAACCTTCCTTGTTAATTGCCTGATTAAACAGGCTGTTCCTGTAGAAAGTCTGCTTTTCCACATAACAATCACAGTCTGGTCATTTTACTCTCTGTCAGTGGTTGCTTTTGCTTGCCATTTAAACAATCATGTACCAAAGTACTTTGCCTTTTACTCCTCTATACTGCAGTTTCCTGATTATTTTTTTCACATGGAACTCATTGACAGCTTTATAAAATTTAAATGAATGCACCTACTTATCCATTTTGTTTCCTAATTACTCTAAATCTATTGCAGCAGTTTAATAGACTTGATATACAGCACAGGAATGTTCTAATTGCAAAGCAAACCACAATACTGCATTTGCTATTTAGATTTCTTCCATATTCCCAGTGTTCTATTAGCTTTTCTCTCATGGTTTTTCTAACTAGTTTTACAGGAACACTGTCAACAGGACAGATCTGTAATTGAAAAGGTTCTTTCTTCCTATCATTTGTTTTGAAAATTGACATGTGCCATTTTTTTCCATTGGTCTGACAAGTTTACCTTCATGTAGTGAAATCACAAAGATTTTCCAAAGAGGTTGAGACATACAATCATTCAAGAACCATGGTGCTATCTAGTCTAGTGCTACTGATTGTGCCGACACCCTTCGACCAGCTGATTCAAGGCAGGTCAAGGTACCTGGCATCTACTTTCCCTCCAGCTAATAGATATGGCCAGCCTTCAGTTATCAAACTATCTGGGAATGTTGGGCTGGGTCTGGCTTAGGAAGATGAGGACTATGCAAAGCTGCTGCAGAAGCAAAATTAAACATCTAAAGCTTAGGCCTCAGCAACATGAGGAAACCTGTGAAGCATCTGTTGTTGCTGGTGATACAGAAAATGATATTCAGGGTGATGGCGTCAGTGAAGGTGATGGAAAAGTGCAATAATGGTGACACCATTGATGAGTGTAATGGTGGTGGCGATGATTTTTGTTGTGGGTGGTAGTGGTTGTGGGTGATGGAGGTAGTGGTTGTGGGTGGTGGTGATGGTGGCAGTTGTTGTGGGTGGTGGTGATGGTGGCAGTTGTTGTGGGTGGTGGTGGTTGTTGTGGGTGGTGGTGGTGGTTGTGGGTGGTGGTGGTTGTTGTGGGTGGTGGTGATGGTGGTGGTTGTTGTGGGTGGTGGTGGTTGTTGTGGGTGGTGGTGATGGTGGTGGTTGTTGTTGTGGGTGGTGGTGGTTGTTGTGGGTGGTGGTGATGGTGGTGGTTGTTGTGAGTGGTGGTGGTTGTTGTGGGTGGTGGTGAGATGGTGGTTGGTTGTTGTGGGTGGTGGTGATGGTGGCTGTTGTGGGTGGTGGTGATGGTGGTGGTTGTTGTGGGTGGTGGTGATGGTTGTTGTGGGTGATGGTGGTGGTGGTTGTTGTGGGTGGTGATGGTGGTGGTGGTTGTTGTGGGTGGTGGTGATGGTGGTGGTGGTTGTTGTGGGTGGTGGTGGTGGTTGTTGTGGGTGGTGGTGATGGTGGTGGTTGTTGTGGGTGGTGGTGGTTGTTGTGGGTGGTGGTGATGGTGGTGGTTGTTGTGAGTGGTGGTGGTTGTTGTGGGTGGTGGTGATGGTGGTGGTTGTTGTGGGTGGTGGTAATGGTGGCTGTTGTGGGTGGTGGTGATGGTGGTGGTTGTTGTGGGTGGTGTGATGGTTGTTGTGGGTGATGGTGGTGGTGGTTGTTGTGGGTGGTGGTGATGGTGGTGGTGTTGTTGTGGGTGGTGGTGATGGTGGTGGTGGTTGTTGTGGTGGTGGTGGTGGTTGTTGTGGGTGGTGGTGATGGTGGTGGTTGTTGTGGTGGTGGTGATGGTGGTGTTGTGGGTGGTGGTTGTTGTGGGTGGTGATGTGGGGTTGTGGGTGGTGGTGGTGGGTGGTGGTGATGGTGGTGGTGGTTGTGGGTGGTGATGATGGTGGGTGGTTGTGGGTGGTGGGGATGGTGGGTGGTTGTGGGTGGTGGTGGTTGTGGGTGATGGTGGTTGTGGGTGGTGGTGGTTGTGGGTAGTGATGGTGGTGGTGGTTGTGGGTGATGGTGGTGGTTGTGGGTGGTGATGGTGGTGGTTGTTGTGGGTGGTGATGGTGGTGGTTGTTGTGGGTGGTGGTTGTTGTGGGTGGTGATGGTGGTGGTTGTTGTGGGTGGTGATGGTGGTGGTTGTTGTGGGTGGTGATGGTGGTGGTTGTTGTGGGTGGTGATGGTGGTGGTTGTTGTGGGTGGTGATGGTGGTGGTTGTTGTGGGTGGGGTGATGGTTGTTATGGGTGGTGGTGATAGCGGTGGTTGTGGACGGTGGTTGTGGGTGGTGGTTGGTGGTGGTTGTGGGTGGTTGTGGGTGGTGGTGGTTGTGGGTGGTGGTGGTTGTGGGTGGTGGTGGTTGTGGTGGTGGTGGTGGTGGGTGGTGGTGGTTGTGGGTGGTGGTTGTGGGTGGTGGTGGTGGTTGTGGGTGGTGGTGGTTGTGGGTGGTGGTGGTGGTTGTTGTGGGTGGTGGTGGTGGGTGGTGGTTGTGGGTGGTGGGTGGTGGTTGTGGGTGGTGGTGGTGGTTGTGGGTGGTGGTGGTGGTTGTGGGTGGTGGTGGTGGTGGTTGTGGGTGGTGGTGGTGGTTGTGGGTGGTGGTTGTGGGTGGTGGTGGTGGTTGTGGGTGGTGGTGGTGGTTGTGTGGTGGTGGTGGTGGTTGTGGGTAGGTGGTGATGACTGATAATGACAAAAGTACAAAAGTAACTAGGGTAGTGTAGGAGGGAAGCGGGACACCAGTGGTGATATCACACGTCATTCACAGAAAAAAAAAAAGGGGGAAGTTCAAAGATCTCTGCGTGGCCTCAAATATGAATGCGCTTTTAGAGCAGAGACATAAAATAAACATCTGTGCCATTTAATCATTTTAACCATAAGCTGGTCATGGTCCTTGATCATTTAAATGTTGCTTATTTGAAAAGAGAAAAATAAATGCATTTTAGTATAAACTTACTAGTATTCGTTACGCTGAACGATGCTGTCAGCTTCTTTCCTGTCCATCCAAGTTTTGGGGTTAATTCAGTCAACATTCATTACGAGTTGTTAAAAAATTAATTACCTAACAAAGCTATCCATTTTTTCAGAAGTTCAAGATTTTTTACCCCAAAGTCAATTAAAGGCGTTCAATGATACGTAGCTAATCTCGCCATGTTGTTGCTCCCAGCAGCCCACGGAATATGTAACCATAACAACTTGACTGATTTGGAGCCTCTTCCTGGAAGTACTCTATAGATATATTTAAGAATAAATACATGGGAAAATAAGGAAAGCGAAGGTACCTTCCGAGTCGAGGTCAAAATCATCGTGTGAGAGTCGTTCCGGTCCGTAGGCTATGAAGATATCGTCATCATAGAAGAAGTCCCGCAAACTAACTACCTGCAGGACCAAGAAAGATTTACACGTGAGAAAATGCTTTCACTGATGTGAAAACTAAATTCAATAACTGTAATAAATAAATGTACGGTAAAGGCACACCACTGAAGTTACAATTAGTGTACATGATGTACCCGTGATCGATTTCCAAGATTCTACCCTCTCAAAGAAACGGACACGTGTACAATTTAGTATATTTATTAAAGGAAAAGTTTTGCCACGAATGGCTTCATCAATCTTAGGACTGATGAAGCCAAAGAACTGTACACAACTGTTCTTTTTCTAGTCTGTCGGGATCACCATACCATTTACCTCTGGGTCAAGACTGAGGCTAGGCTTCCTTGTTGGCTGATCAACTAGGCTGACGCTGCTAGTAACCAGCATACCCATCACACCTTGTTAATAAGACAATATATAATGCAAGACGTATTGCCAAGAAATTTCGTCCACTACGGACCTCACTAATTCTTACTTGGGAATTAATAAAATCCCTGGTGGACAAAACGCCTTCTCAGTAAAATGCCATAAACCACATACTGTGTCTTATTAACATACTTGTGTGTATACTGTACCACTGATACCCAGTACCTTGTCTAATCTGGCAATATCTTTTATATCTGCTGGTGGCTTCAGTGTTTTGGGCCAGGGATATAAATAATGCATTGCTTTCTAATTGTAAGAGGGTAGACCATGGAGGGTTACCAGTGACAGGGTGGACAAGGAGAACCACTGAGAGGCAGATCAAAAGTACGCGAGGTCACAGTTGAAAGTTAAAAGCACAGACGAGTCACAAAGAAGTTAGAAATATATTTTTGCCTTAGAGTGGTCAGGAAGCGGAACGACCTAGACAGCTAAACGATAAGAGGCAGAATCCATACATAAATTGAAGAATATGTATGAAAGGGCTCACACGACCAGTAAAAACAGTAACATCCTGAATAGAGGTGGGCCCAGCTGAGACTACCCCTGAAAGGGTGGCCACAAAATGAGGGACAGGTGAAAGAGGGGGAGGGAAGAGAAGGGAAAAGGAGGACAGGTGAGTAAAGGAAGGGCAGGCGAATGCGTGAGAGGGAGAAGCTGAGGGAAGGGAAGGTTACAGTAGGGGAGGGGAGGGCAGTTGACCTGTGAGTCTTACTACACCAGAGGAACTATTTTTAGATAAACACCCGTGACTGCCGACCTGCCCAGGGTTGGCAACACTGTTGGCTGGTCACAGTACTGAGTAACTGCAGCAGTGCAGTGGTGGGTGATGGCAGCAGTGCTGAGTGGTGGCAGCAGTGCTGAGTGGTGGCAGCAGTGCTGAGTGGTGGCAGCAGTGCTGAGTGGTGGCAGCAGTGCTGAGTGGTGGCAGCAATGCTGACTGGTGGCAGTAATGCTGAGTGGTGGCACCAATGCTGAGTGGTGGCACCAATGCTGAGTGGTGGCACCAATGCTGCGTGGTGGCACCAATGCTGAGTGGTGGCACCAATGCTGAGTGGTGGCACCAATGTTGAGTGGTGGCACCAATGCTGAGTGGTGGCAGCAGTGTAGAGTGGTGCGTGGTGGCAGCAGTGCAGAGTGGTGCGTGGTGGCAGCAGTGCAGAGTGGTGCGTGGTGGCAGCAGTGCAGAGTGGTGCGTGGTGGCAGCAGTGCAGAGTGGTGCGTGGTGGCAGCAGTGCAGAGTGGTGCGTGGTGGCAGCAGTGCAGAGTGGTGCGTGGTGGCAGCAGTGCACAGTGGTGCGTGGTGGCAGCAGTGCACAGTGGTGCCTGGTGGCAGCAGTGCAGAGTGGTGCCTGGTGGCAGCAGTGCACAGTGGTGCCTGGTGGCAGCAGTGCACAGTGGTGCCTGGTGGCAGCAGTGCACAGTGGTGCCTGGTGGCAGCAGTGCACAGTGGTGCCTGGTGGCAGCAGTGCACAGTGGTGCCTGGTGGCAGCAGTGCAGAGTGGTGCGTGGTGGCAGCAGTGCAGAGTGGTGCGTGGTGGCAGCAGTGCAGAGTGGTGCGTGGTGGCAGCAGTGCAGTGGTGTGTGGTGGCAGCAGTGGTGGGTGATGGCAGCAGTGTTGAGTGGTGGCAGCAGTGCTGAGTGGTGGCAGCAGTGGTGGGTGGTGACAACAGTGGTGGGTGGTGACAGCAGTGGTGGGTGGTGACAGCAGTGGTGGGTGGTGACAGCAGTGGTGGGTGGTGACAGCAGTGGTGGGTGGTGACAGCAGTGGTGGTGGAAGTAGTGCCCAGTGATAGTTATAATACTGGGGGGTAACAGCAGCAGCAGTGGTGGGGGGTCGTGGAGGGTGGTGACAGCAGTGCTGCTTGGAAGATTGAATGCTGAGTGGTAACAGCAACGGTTGGTGGTGGCAGTAAGTGTAATATAGCAGTGTTGTCCAGACAGTGGAGGTCACACCATGATAGCATAACCATGCACAACTTGGGGCCATACGCCTCCCAGCTGGCCCTACCTTAATCATGTCTTTCTTACGTGCTTAGTAGTCAAAATGGGCGTCATTGAAAACATCTTTCTCATCCTCCAAGCATTTTCGATTGGCAAAGTATTGCAACATTTCTTGTGGATGACACTACTGCACTTGCTGTCTACCACTGAGCTACAGGTTACACTGCAGTTGTGTATCCTTGTTATGTAGATCTTCCCATCACACAATGTATGCTCAGCTTATCAGAAAATTAATGAGCAGTCAACTAAAGCAAATCATATATTATACTCAACTGTGTTTTATAAGGCTCCATGTCAGCCTAGGAAAGGTTCCCTAAAGCATCTTAATTTCTGGTACCATTCAGTATGCTTTGCACTTTCAGTGTGTGTTGTCTGATGCTTATATAGCAACCAACACCTGTTTCACATACCTCAATCTATACATCCACAACAGAATAAATTGATGGACAGACGTGATAAAAGGTATAAGATAAAATGGAAAGCAGGAATGGAAAGCAGTCAACATCATAAAGCAAAATTCTTCAATCTTAATGAAATAAAGGTACAAAATTTAGAAGTAGGGTAAACCAAAGAAGGAAACACATTCACCATTACTCATTCTATAGCCCTCTTTCCAGAAGTGCATAAAGATCACAATACAAATGACTGTCCAACTGTATCATTCCTAACCATCCCTCAAGAGTATAAGTACTGCATTTCTAACCTCCAGAACCCGAGTACTGTACTGTACTACTTGCTAATCTCCCTCGTCTCTGATAACCCCTATCTAACATTCCTACATATGCATAAATAAAGTGTAATGAACACTTGTCAATGCTCAATAATAACATGGAGACAAACTCGGAATATGCTTATCGATGGCTTAATCCCTACCAATCTCCTTTGCATACTCTACACCTATTATCCTACTATCTAAATTATCTTAATTATCTAAATTTCCAAAACAGTAGGTATCCTTTCCAAGATACGATACTATGTACCCCAATGGGCCCTCCTTACCTTATACCACTCTCTAATAAACCCTTACCTCACCTATGGTATTTGTGCTTGGGGGATCTACCACGGCCAATCACCTCAAACTTTTAATAACCCAACAAAAAGCGGCAGTGAGGATGATCACAAACTCCAGTGCCAGACAATACACCCCAGCTCTCTTCAAAAACATGAACTTACTTAATATCCATAATATACACACTTATTATTGTGCCTATTACATATACAGAACATTAAACTCCAATATCAACCCTCCACTCAAACTTCTCCTAAACAGCTTCAACAGAAAACACAGGCATAACTGTCAGCATAGTTGCTGATCCCCTACACGTGTTGTATAGTTTATCTGAGTATCATAGTTAGTACCATCCGTATGTTTTACATACACACGACCCCTTTGCTAGGCCTAGTGACTAGTTTGTATGACATTATGTGATGCCGCGCGAGTGCGTGGGACGCGTTGCATCGGCCTCAGTTCCCCATAATCCAAGCAGGCGACAGGACAGGCAGTTTGGGCTCTCCCCCTTCATACTCTGCTAATACAAGTGTTACCATCCAACAAGTGTGTTTTACTCCAATCACCATATCTCCTACGAACCCCCTTTCCACATGACATGAGGCACAAAACACTGACATCCCTCATGTCCATCTCACACTCTGCAAAAATGCAATGCACATAAAGGGCCCTAAGATCTGGAATTCTTTGCCTGAAGCAGCAAGAGGTCCCCTGCCCACAAATCAGTTTAGGATCATACTCAAAAATCATCTCATCTCTCAATAACAAACCTGCTCACACCATGCTAAACCCCAACTAAATTCAAAGTACATAACTCCCCTATATACGTACTTTATTTTCACTAATTGTACTACTGCATATTAATAATAAAGTAAATGAGCTTAATTACAAACTTAAAAATATATGACTGATGGTATAAATTGTACTACCTCATATTAATAATAAGAGTGAAATACAGAATACAGTGGAACCTCTACTTACGAGTGCATCCATGTGCAAGTTTTTCCAGATAGGAGCAGTCGCTCGGTCAATTTTTTGCTTCCAGACACGAGCAAAATTTCCAGATGTGAGCAAGCCTCAAGGGAGGCTCCTCGATGCTGGCGAGGGGGCTCTTGATCTAGGGAATTGGATCTCAGTTGTTGTTGGATTATCTTATTGAAACCTGGGCAATGTATAATGGTAAGATGCTTCTTTAACGTACACTAAAAATGGCAGAAATTGGACCATAAATAACGGAGTTCACTTCTCAGCCATTAGCCTCCCCTTAGCAGTATATTTTCGTATGGTTTTTATGATTGTATTATCGTTTTTTTCTTTTTTATCTTATTTGATAGAATGGAAGATATACTACAGAAACAGATATGATTTTGATTGGTTTCACGATGAAAAGTACCTTGAAATTGAGCTCAAAGTAGCAGAAATGGTCGATTCTTTGGCGATGTTAAAGAATAAACAAATGACATCACCATTCAATACCTATCCGATTGGCACTGCCCCTCAACATTCACATACTGGAAAGCTCTTCAACACACTAGCGAAAGTGGGAGCAGACCTCATGAGGTAGCAGTGGCAGACATCATGCAGCAGCAGTGGCAGACATCATGAGGTAGCAGGGGCAGACAACATGAAGCAACAGTGGCAGACAACATGAAGCAGCAGTGGCAGACAACATGAAGCAGCAGTGGCAGACAACATGAAGCAGCAGTGGCAGACAACATGAAGCAGCAGTGGCAGACAACATGAAGCAGCAGTGGCAGACAACATGAAGCAGCAGTGGCAGGCCTTGTTATACCCTATCCTATAAATGAGTTTCCAAACGCCACCACGAGATGGAAGTCCACTCCACTCGCGGTGGAGGGAATTCTCATGTTTTCCTTACGTTTCGTGCATTTATTTGGCAAAATTTCTTGTTTCTAACCATGGGTCCTAAGAAAGCAAGTGCAAAGGACAGTACTGAGAAGAGAAAGAGGATGATTTCCATGGAATTAAAGCAGGAAATCATACATAAACAAACTAGGTGGAGGGTTAAGGACTTGGCCAGGCAGTACCAGCGTACCACTTTATGAAGTGTACAATACTAAAGCAGGAGTTAGTGACAAAGTGTAGCATTAAGAGTGTAGCAATTACGTGTAGCATTAAGAGAGTGGCAATTAAGTGTAGCATTAAGAGTGTAGCAATTATAAATCACACTGGCTTTTTTTTGGGTTATCTTAGGTTCTCTACACATGTAATCAAGAGCAGGAAGGACCACTGTGGTGGCCCTATATACCCCAACAACAACAATGGCTGCTGTCACCACCACTAGCCACATACGTAATGACGTGTATTTTATTCATTCTAGTGTATATATCATGTTTCTATGTTATTAATACTGTTTATGTCATATTAGATGAATTGTGATAGATAAATAAGCCACAGATTTGATATTAAGGAAATTATTGAAGTATTGTGTCGTGCCTGGAATTCCACTGGAACGAATTAATTCCATTTCAGTTAATTTAAATGAGGAAAACTAACTGCAAACGAGCAAATCCAGATGCGAGCAAGGTCAAAGAACGGACTAAACTCGTAAGTAGAGGTTCCACTGTAGTATTTGTATTCTACCACTGTAAAAGAACCTAATTTTGTACTTAAATGTAAGATTGTCATAAATTATACTACTTCATATTAACATTAGAGTGAAGATCGAGTATTCTGCCACTCTTCACCTGTCTAGACTTAAGTAGTCTATAAGTATTAAGTCTGCCCAAAATGCCTAGGCATGATAGTGGCTTTCTTTGCTCCATTCATACTATATGTAAATACACATTGTAACCTTAACAAAGAAATAAATATTTTATTTTATTTTATTTATATTTACACAACCACAAAAATTTTTGCTTTCCTGGCAATTCCCTGATTAACCAGGCTGTTTCTCCCTGCAGCCCACAGGCTTACATGGCCATTACAAGTGGCTCATCCAGCACATGCTACAGAAATTCTATCCAGTTTCTTACTGAAGATTGCTGATACAGTGAAATTCATTGCAAGCTAACAGATGATTCACTAATATACATACAATATGTGCTACCATGTACTTAAGTTCTGCATGAGCAAGCCTGCTTGCTGTAAGCTAACACTGACTATGTTAAGTATTGTAATATGGATATAAGGAGAAAACACAAGTATACTGACCTGTCTACCGTCAAGGGTGTAGATCTTCCTGACAGCACCTGTGTCCAGCTTTATAGCATGTGTGATGTCTGAGAGCACTTGCTCTAAGCTCCGGGCAGTGCGCTGATTAAGCAAAATGCGCACAGCCTTGCGGGGTCGCACACCATTACGGATTACAGTTACTAGTTTAGGTCTAATGAAGTCCTTGGGTGAATGAGTAGGTGTAGTTATAGTAGTAGCAATGAAGCTTGGGGGTGCCTCGCTACCTGGTGTGGACACAGGGGAGGGAAACGCAGTGCCTGCAGTCACATGCAGTGCCTCTTTGCGACGCACATTGGCTCTCCACTGTGGTAAACGAGCACGGGTGTATTCTAATTTTTTGAACGTTTCGGAGGAGGAAACTACGTACTCACTTGCTTCCACAATTTGGTCAAGCTGAGTAATACGGGTGCCATCTAGGGTAAACACGTGGCGTACACCAGCAGTCAGGTGTATTGGGTGGTCCAACACACGAGTTAAATCAGCCAGTAATGCCTCCCATGAGCGATGTTTGTCCCCTCCCACAGCAACCACAGACCCGCCAAACCATCGGTCGCCATTTCTGTAAAAGCGACAACGTCTAGCCCGTTTCTCTTCACACAGTCTTGTAAGAGGAACACGACTCAAGGCACTTGTTGGTGAGGCTCTTCCACGGCGGGCACCAGATGTGCTGCTTCCGCTACTGTTAATAATATTAGAGGCAGCAGAAATGACACCTGTGGATGACCCCCGGGACACTGGGGGTCTCACACTCCCAGCCTCATCATCCCCAAATTCAAGGCTTGATGACCCTGATACACCTGAATGCTCCTTCTGCTGCTCTGCTGTCCCCATCTCTCACACATTCTGCAACAAGCCAGATTTATTTTTAAACAGCATACCATATGGATATTAAAAGACTAAATAATACTCTGTAAAAATTTATAAAAAACTAAGTAAGCGAGTGCGCAAATTTATTGGGACCAAAAATTCCACGGCTAGGTTCACATCCAAATAATTTGATGCCGTGGTCACAGTAACCCTTAACACATCCTTCCACCTGACAATAACACTGGGTAGATTAAAGATTAATAAACTAATTGATAAATTTACATCTTAAGTATGATTTAGGAAGGTTTAAATTGTTAGTTGATAATATTAGAATTAATAATGCAGGTTTAGACATTAATACATGTAATATGTTATACAGTGGACCCCCGCATAACAATCACCTCCGAATGCGACCAATTATGTAAGTGTACTTATGTAAGTGCGTTTGTACGTGTATGTTTGGGGGGTCTGAAATGGACTAATCTACTTCACAATATTCCTTATGGGAACAAATTCGGTCAGTACTGGCACCTGAACATACTTCTGGAGTGAAATAATATCGTTAACCGGGGGTCCACTGTATTAGGTAGCGAGATTAGACACTGAGGTAGCTAGCAACTCCATCCTTGAACTGGGACAGGAAACCGGCTAGCAAAGCAACGAGCTTTTTTCTGGAAAAAGCCAGCGGTTGGTCAACATCTCCAGGGACCTACCAGCTCAGTGACCATGCTGACTTCAAAATACTGCCTGGTGGCCAAGGATAAGGCTCTGAGAGGCTTCCCTGACGTACTGCAGACACAGTCTCTTCCTGGGCCCCCATAGTAAAACAATGTTTTTTTTTTTCCTTAGTATTAATTGGCCAATGGTATTTTGGGAAATACAAGACATTTAAGCTATAGATTACGAGCGGGCGGACGCCCATCCCAAGGGTAAATAACAGCTAAGTTTGTTCTAGTTTGTACATGGAGGCAGGAATTTCCTGCAGCATAGTTGATTCCAAAAAGAAGTGTACCTTATGGGTGCTTGTGAGAATGGGACTCAAGGAGTCTTATGTTATCTGTGTCAACAGTGATGGCCAGAGTGTGGATCTCAAAAGTTCCCACAGGGAGCAGGTGGCCAGTAATGGGAACAGATCCAAGGATGGTTATGAAACTTCCTCTGGATAAAGGTTGTGAGAGCTTAGAAGGAAGTTTAGATAAGCTCTGATTCCTCATACAATAAGTCACCAACTTATGATAATCAGTTACAATTAGATTACTTCAGAACCAATTAAATATACTCACTTTTCTGAACTACACTTCCTAAGAGCAGACAGCATCAGCATACAATGTGTATAAGCACATGAGAGTGGAACACTGCAGTAGGCCTATTAGTCCATGCTAGGCAGGTTCAATTCACACCCAACAACACCCACTCGTGTACCTGACCAACTAGTATTTAAAAATACCCAAAGTTCTCATTTCAACGATGATACTTCGTAGTTCTTTCCACTGATCTAGAACTTCATACCAAACCAATACTGTATACGTACTTCCCTATGTCCTTTCTAAATCTAAATTTGTCAGACTTGAATCTACAGTGGTCCCTCGCTTTTCGTAGTTCTCGGGAATCATAGATTTCGGAAATCAAAGGGATATATTCGTATAAACATGGGCTCGCTAATCATAGGTTGACTCGTGAATAGTAGTTCGTCCGGGACGCGTACACACAGTGTGAGCCGGGGCGGCCTCCCTACCCAGCCAGTCTGGCATTGTTTACCAGTGAGCGAAGGTCCCCCTCACGTGCTCCTACGAAATATTTCATAATATTCCACTCATTTTAGTCCTTGCAAGTACAGTGGACCCCCGCATAGCGACTTTAATCCGTGCAAGAGGGCTGATTGTTATGCGAAATGATCGGTATGCGAGTGAATTTTCCCCATAAGAAATAATGGAAATCAAATTAATCCGTGCAAGACACCCAAAAGTATGAAAAAAAAAATTTTACCACATGAAATATACATTTTCCTACACACAAAGAGAAGGATACATGCACAATAGTAGAGTAGTACATGCACAATATATATTGTGCATGTACTACTCTACTAAATGAAGAATAAATGACATTTACCTTTATTGAAGATGCAGCAATGACTGATGAGACACTGTGTCCTGGGAGTGCCTTTTCCTCCTGAGTACTGTAGGTCCTGTTTGGCATTTTCTTCCAGAACAGGCCTTATCACACTGTGTATGCCACTACGATTCTTAAATCTCTCAAACCAACCTTTGCTGGCTTTAAATTCACCAATATGAGCACTAGTTCCAGGCATTTTTCCCTGTTCACCTGGGTGTTAGTCGACTGGTGTGGGTTGCATCCTGGGAGACAAGATTAAGGACCCCAATGGAAATAAGTTAGACAGTCTTCGATGACACTGACTTTTTTGGGTTATCCTGGGTGGCAAATCCTCTGGGGTTAATTGTTTCTTGGTATTCTCAATAAGCCACACCAACAACGGTGCTACAGCAGCAGCAGACGATGCTACAGCAGCAGCAGACGATGCTACAGCAGCAGCAGACGGTACTACAGCAGCAGCAGCAGCTGACAAGTGCTACAGCAGCAGCAGACGATGCTACAGCAGCAGCAGACGATGCTACAGCAGCAGCAGACGATGCTACAGCAGCAGCAGATGGTACTACAGCAGCAGCAGCAGCTGACGGTGGTACAACAGCAGCAGCAGCTGTACCACCAATAGTAGCGATGGTTGATTGGGGTTTATTATACAACCTGGCCAGCTCGGAGACACGCACTCCACTTTCATACTTATCAATGATCTTTTTCTTCATCTCTATAGTAATTCTCACCCTTATTGCTGTAGGGTTGGCACTAGAAGCTTTCTTGGGGCCCATGGTCACTTATTTTCCAGAAAAAATCACCAAAAACACTGTAATAATACGAAATGTTCCGATTGTATGCTTGGATGTTACCGCGGAGGCTGGCTGGTAAACAACGCAACCGGCGGCACATGTGAGGCTGGCTAAGGGCGCACATTGGACGTGTCTTGGACGAAGAGCAGTGAGCGGGTTTTTGGGCGGTATGCGAGGCAAAATTTTTGCGATAAAAGCGAGCGATATGCGGATTGAACGGTATGTGATGCGTACGGTATGCGGGGGTCCACTGTATACATTAAATACTGTTTAATACTATGGTACATACTATTTGCACTTGAAAAAGCTAAAATAATGGTGAAACCTTGGTATAACAGACTAATTCGGGGAGGAGGATGTCTGTTTAAATGAAAATTTGTTGCATCCAAGTGCGCAATGCAGAAGACTAGGTCTGCTACATTGGAATCCTATCATATACCTACTGATCACGGACAAATGCCCCGTACATCCAGACACCTTCATGTAGCAGACTTGCTGAGTTTTTGTCTGGCCAAATATTTTGTCCATTGTACTGTATTTGAAATCTGTTACAAAGAGGTCCATTTTATTTTAGTTTTACTGTGCTGTATTGGGTAAATATTCCTAGTTAAGATAATAAATTAAAAATATGTAATACTATGGTTTGGGAATGCATTTCTAAATATAACACAGGCATCAATGGAAAAATAGGTGCATACATACTGCATTCTGAATACATAAGAGGGAAACCTATTGTATTCTGCAATTAGATAAACCTGATTTTCTTTTCCCAATGATTATCTTTTTTTTCACAAGTCTGAAGAGTAATGCTTAGGTGGTGCTGTAGTTTGCCTTGGCAAACCTTCTAAAGCAATTGGTAATTGGTAGAGAGCAGCTGGTGTCTGACTGTGGGCACATAATAGTGCACGAATGAAGTGAAATCATACGTATATTATTTTTGATTGGGTTCAGTTTGAGTAACCTTGCATGCTTTTAATGTTATATTAGGCTTCTCAATATACTTTAAAGTTATGCTTGGTACATTTATATCATATGGGGTATGGGCTTTAGCATGATGAAACTGAGAAGTGGAGCACATTCACTGACTATTGGAGTTAACATAGCTTATGCCATAATGAGCCCTACCTACAATGACTGAGGAGAAAATGCTCTATCTCAAAATCTGAAAGAAATTTAAGTTCCCCAAAGTGAGCAACATAGAAAAAGAACCGATGGTTCGTGCCCTAACCAATATGCAGTCAGCAAGGAAGGACAACCACTTCAAACAATGATAGAATTTTGCTACAGATACCCAGGGCAATGCAAGGTGTACACACATCACCAAGGACGGAGCAAAAAACTTTTAAACACTTCTTCACAGTGAAAACACTCACATATTACTTCACAATTAACAATATAGGGCTTTTATATCCGTAATACAATAGGTTCATCTCAGAGTATGTGGTGCCAACATGGAAACCACACCTGATAATGCACATAATAGACATGAAGATTAATGACATGACTTGTATATGAAATGTGGCTGGAAGAACTAAGAGCTGAAACTTAGACTAAATAACTAAACCTGATAATGCTATTAGAGAAAAGAACCAGAAACATCATGCTGCCTTTGATATACCTTTGATGAGTTTTGAGAGAAATCCTCACAATCTTGAGTGAGTAGGAAAGTTTGGGTTTCAAACAATTTATTGAACACTGTTGGGATGATAGGTGATAGCATTTGAACACAGTATTACACTGGCAGAAATTATGCAAACTACACCACAGCGAGAGCCACTTGCTATCAGTGTAATAGACACAGTTATTATTCATATATTTAGGAAAGAAGTGCTAAACCCAAAGAGATCACATACAGGGCCTGAGGAATGTAATAACAACCACACAATGACTTTAATAACAACCACACAATGACTGTAATAACACCACACAGTGGTTGCAGTAATGCTGCACAGTGGCTGCAGTAATGCTACAGTGGCTGTAATAATGGCACACAGTGGCAATAAATAGCACCACACAGTAGTTACAATGATGCCTAACATAATATCTTAATTTCTACAAGTACATGTACAAGGTATACAAGCCTAGCTGACACCAGTGATATGTACGTATATAGAAAGTCCCTTGTTATGCAGATCATTTTGGGCAAATTAGGTCAATTTTGTCCCAGGATGCAACCCATGCCAGTTGACTACCACCCAGGTACCCATTTTACTGATGGGGAACAGACAACCAGCATAAAGAAACATAGCCAATGTTTCTACCCTTGCTGGGAATCGAACCCAGACACTCGATGTGTATTATTATTATTATAATCAAGGGGGAAGCGCTAAACCCGGAGGATTATACAGCGCCTGGGGGGGGGATGTGGAAGGCATTCAGGCTTAATTCGGGGAACTGGAGCACAGATCCAATTCCCTAAATCAAGAGCCCCTCACCAACATCAAGGAACCTTCCTTGAGGGGACTCGATGTGTAAAGCAAGAGCTTTAGCCACCAGGCCATGGGGCACCACCGTTAACTTAGTTTCTTAGTACAAGAGGCCCCTGCTTTACGGCGCTTCTCTTTATGGTAATTCACTAATATGGACATTTCAAATTATACCCCAAAATTCGTTTATACAGCGCCTGATTCACTATTATGGCGTCCACACACCACCTGTTCACTCTCAGCTTGTTTAAATCCTCCATGAGATCTGCATCTCTCTTGATTATGTCTGGAAACTTTCCAAAGTTTCAAGTGTTTTAAAGATATTGCATATTTTATATATACACTCATTTTTTATGTTACAACGACATCTAAGGGTTGTGATTAAAAGACTCGTAAGGCTCTTTCTTTAAGTGCAAATTTAGAAATTATTAAACTCAGTGAGGAAGGTATGTCTGTGGCTGAAACAGTACTGAGATACTACTGATAATTGTACATATGTGTACCTGTACCTAAATAAACTTACTGTACCTGGTATGCAGGTACAGTGGACCCCTGGTTTTCCGTCGGTGCAGAAATCGGCCAGTTCGGAAATCAAGCACTTTTTTCGGCAAAAATTCCCCCCGGATTTCGTGCATCCGCTCGGAAATCGCTGGTACCAGACACGTTCACCTTGGCCACTCATATGTTTGCGACTCACTCGGGGGCACATTAAATGTCTTTTTTTAGGTTAATATAGACATTTTCATTAATCCATCTATGATATTTTCTTCAAAATTATATAAGAAACATGTTACATAGTAAATAAAAACTTGCAATGTTTATATGCGATGTATGTTTAATAATAATCACTCTTGGGCATATTAAATGTCTTATTTTAGGTTAGTATGAACATTTTCATTAATCTATGATATTTTCTTCAAAATTATATAAGAAACATGTTACATAGCTTATAGCATGTAAACATGCAATGGTTATATGCTATAGAGTGGTGAGTTGGGTGGAGGTTAAACATTACGTTTTCTCTGGTTGTGCGTTAGAGAAAACTGCGAATCTGGTGTCTGGCCCAGTCACTGCCCTTAATTAACACGTGTTTGTTTACAATTCTCGGCATGAATTATTCATTACTTCTCCCTTTGTTTATGATGGCATCTAAAGGTTGTTAGAAATGATTAAACTCAGTGAACATGGTATGTCGATGGTAATAACATGGCCGTGTTCTGCAGTGTAGGTAGCCGGTAGGCGTAGCCCAGAGGGACTACATACTAATACCTACATCTACCGGCTACCTACACTGACTTCCTACAAATAAATACTACTCACCTCTTGCTCTACATTAAGATAACAAATATTTTAAGGTAAGTAATGAATGTACTAACCACTGAAGAGCTGCAGCACTATAGTTATTCTCTATAAAATTTAGTTTTATTAATATTTTTGGGTGTCTGAAATGGATTAATTGGATTTACATTATTTCTTATGGGAAACACTGTTTCGGTTTTTGGCCA